GGGAGGGGGGGGGGAAAACGAATCTTGAAGTGGCCTACTAATCTGCGTTAGCAACACCTGTTTTATAAGGAAACTCCGAAACAAAAAGCGTTTTTAGCGAAAAAAAAAAAATAAAAAAAAAAAAAATATAGTGAAGGGGGGGGGGGGGGGGCGGGCGGACCCGCGTTCCAGGCCAATATCTCGGTAGTAAATTATTGACTTATTTCGCTTAACTACGCCTTTTACTACTTAAGTGGAATAATATTCAGTATAAATTGAAAAATAATGATTCTTGTTATTATTTTTAGTGATGCATTTTGGAAAATATTCCTAATATTTTGGGATTTATGGAGAGTTTAAAAAGAGCAGATATTTTGCAACAGTCTAAGTACTACCAAAATTATTTTTATATGGATAATGATAAGATATTTAGGTGGAAAAGTGAAACATCAAAAATTGTGTATTTAGTATTGTTCTCTCGGTTACCAAGTGCCCAAACAACCTTACGTGGCGGCCCTATAGGATACCCTCCTGCCAAAATGTCCATTTTCAGTAAATGTTCTTCTTTGTTGAGTTGTTTTGGGTTCTTAATGACAAATATTTACAGTAATAGAGTTAAGTAAATACGTCGTCTTGTGCACCGGGCAAATTGAAAGAAATCTGACAAAAAAGAATTTAGTTGTTGATACCCGCCCCTAAAGCAAAAGAAAATAGTTAAAAGTACTCTGAAGCGTAATTAGTCTGGATCCACATAAGGAAAGAAATAAGAACATAAGAAAGGAGGAAACACTGCAGCGGCCTGTTGGCCCATACTAGGCAGGTCCTTTTACAATTGATCCCACTAACAAACCATTTCCCAACCCAATTTTCAATGACACACACAAGAAAATAAGCTCTGATGTGCAGTCCCCTCAAAATCCACCCCTCCCAATCATGTACTTATTCCATCTAAATTTGAAACAACCAAAGTCCTATCCTCATTACACAATAGAGTAGACTGTTCCAATCATCAAACTACCCTATTTCCAAACCAATTTTCCTATTGTCCTTTCATAAATATAAAACTTATCTAATTTAAATACTTTACTGCGGGTTCTCTCTTGGAGGAGAGACATCCTCAAGGACCTTGGTAAGGGTGAAAGAATATGTGGCAATTTCCGCGGACGCTCAACCAAAAATCGCAAAATAAAATTTTGGAAATTGAGTATATATACCGAAAAATAGCTTTAACTCTTTGGCAACGCAATAATGGTACAAGAATCAACTGTCTAAGAGTTTCTACAAGAAATTATAGTCATTTATATCAGGTATGGTAAGCCGATGTAGGTAGCGCCGGTTCGTTCTCAAACCATGTATTTTTTGGAAAATTTTTTCCTTGTTTTTTATTGCTTTTTCTTTGAATTATTCTTTCTATTATAATAATTGATTATTTGGCATTATATAAGAGTAAGTGGAGCTTATCAATTTGACGTCTAGCCTATCAGGGAAGCACTGGGTTCCACTCGGCATTGCTCCCCCTAAAGATGAGTGCCAGGTGAAATCAATTCATTATTACGTTTAATCTAGCTTATATTTCAACTATACGGCTTCTTATTTTATCTATCAGAATCTTGATCCTATTATGATATAATAAAACATATAATCAACAAACAACATGTTAATACTCATAGACTGAATAAAATAGGCATAATATATGCGAGAGTCCCCCAGCAATATTTCGATATACAATGTGTTTATACTCCTCGTCTCCTAGTTGTATTGTTTGGTATGTGGAGTGATAGAAAACGGTTTTTTGAGAGGAAACTGCACCTAGAACATCGTTTACTAAGAAATTACACCGAAAAACAAAAAAACGCGATTTTCCGCCGCAAAAAAAAAAAAATTTTTTTTGAGACGGTAGGCCTGACCGACGTTTTTAGGCCTATAATTCGGAGGTAACTTTTTCACATTATTTCGCTCTAAAGTACACCATTAATTAATCGTTGTTTGAAAATAATTTTCATTGACAATATAACAACAAAGTGTATTTGAAATGTGGATGATTCTTTTTTTGGAAATATCAAATATTTTTGATTTTGTGGGAGGTTTAAACAGGAAGATATTTTGGTGAATGTAAAAAAGTCTATCCAAATGTATTTTTTTCCATGATAATAAGATATATTAGATGAACATGTGCCATTCCAGAAATTAGTTGTCAGATGTATTCTAACGGTGGGATTGTCGGAAGTGCCCACTCGAAGTACCATTTTGTAATACTTTGCTGCCATATATGATGTCACTAAAATATTTATTTTCTATGTTGTTTGTTGGCCAATAATACTGAAACTTTGTCACATTCTTCTACATATAGAACTCTCTAAGTGTACACCATAAAAATAAAAGAAATTGGGTTTGGTTTTTAGTTTGAAAAAAAAAGAGTAGGACGAAATAGGAAGTACCTACCTATCCCCTTTATTCTAAATACTTCTTTACACTTTTACACTTTCGATTCGGTCTCCCCTCATTACTTCGTCTAACAAAGGTCGAATTTGTAACTCTATGAGTCTTCAATCTTTCTTATAAGGAAAGATTTCTGAGGCTTATGTATTAATTTAGTCATACCTACGCTGAATGTTTTTCTAACGAATTTATTGTCAATTCTGTAATATGGAGACCAGAATTGAGCTTCGATAATCTAGGTGAGGCCTCCTTACTAATGATGTATAAACTGCAGTATGACTCTGGACTTATAGTTTGTTAAACTTCTTGACATAAATATCCCAGTAATCTATTTGCCTATTATGTACGCTTAGGCATTGCTGTCTTGGTGTAAGGTTGCTGACTTACCATAACCCCAAAGTCCTTTTCGCAATAATCTGTAGGCTAAGTTCTCATTATTTAACTTATTAAGTGCTAGGGGTGATGGACACTCCCGGAGCTTCAAAACCTTACATTTATCTACATGAACTGCAATCTGCACTTTTCTGACCAAGCTGTAGTTTGTCCTAAATCCTCCTGAAGTTCCCTTAACATCTAGTTGAATCAATTTTCCTACTTATCTTTTGCTGGTGTCTCGGCGGAATTTGCTTCATTTCCACTAGTATTTCCTTCATTAAGCATCATGATATATATTATAAACAACAACGGGGCCAGAAAGATTCCTGTGGAACGCCACTTGCTTTACTGAGAACCACTAGGATTTAAACCACATTATTTTATGGGACACAATCTCCTGCGTCCTGTCTGTGAAGGCCAATGATTAGAATCCACGAGAGCACCCTTCCCCAATGCAGGTGCTGCTACTTCCCTTCAACAGTCTTTGGTGCGAACTCTATCAAATGCCTTACTATAATCTAAGTAAATAATATCAAATTTCTTTATCGTGGTCAAACAAGCCTCCAAAGCTTTACTGAAGAGAAAGTTAATATATTTGTTAGACAAGGACCGGCCTCTTGTGATTCATGCTGAGTATCATTAATAAAGCTCATGCGTATAGAGATGGCTTCTTATAATCTGAGTATATTTGACCTCTAGTTAATTGGCCTATCATTTGGTGGTCAGGATTTTTGGGCGGGTTATTTGATGGTTCTGTAAGACTTGTCACATGTTCTTATCAACTTTGGTTTTACATTAGCAATCTTCCTACATTAGATGGACATATATACTGTTTGTTGAGTTAATTAGTTATTTATGTGGTTAGGGTTAAAAGACTTCCTTGTGGATTGAATGTTGTTCAAGGGTTTATTTCAAGATGATGGTCAGGGGTATTTTGGGCGGATGGGGGGAGTGAGGAGGATATTTAATGGGGAATAGTGGGTAGGGGTGGGGTATGTTGGGTGAGGAGGATGGGAATAGTGTTTTTTGGTTGTAATGTTGTGGTGGTGGGGAGGAAGGGTGTTTTAAGTGTGTTTTGTTGGTGGGTTTTAAAGTGATATGGGATGGAGAGGGGGATGGTTGTGGGAACAAATGTGTGGGTGGGTGGGGGTTGGGGAAGTGAGGGTGAGAGTTAGGGGGGAGAGTGTGTAGGGGTTTTTTTTTTTTAAGGGGGGGTGTGGTGGGGGTGTTGAAAAGATGATTAGGGTTGGGATGTGGAAAGGGGTGGGGGAGATGAAAACAGGGGGTTGGGAAGTGGGGGCGTGGGGGGGAGTTGTGGGGGGTGGGGGGGGGTGGGTGGGGGGTGGCGGGGGGGGGGGGGCGGGGGGGGGGGGGGGAGCGTGGGCGTGGAGGGGGGGGGTGGTGTGGGGGGGGGGGGTGTTGGGGGGGGGGGGGGGGGTGTCTGGGGGGGGTGGCGGGGGGGGGCGGGGGCGGGGGGGGGGGGGGGTTGGGTGGGGGGGGGGGGGGGGGGGGGGTGGGGGGGGAGGAGGGGGTGGGGGGGGGTTGGCGGGCGGATGGGGGTTGGGTTGGGGGGGGGGGGGAGGGGGTGGTTGGGGCGGTGTGGGGGGGGAGGGGGGGGGGGGGAGGGGGGGGGAGGCAGGGTTAGGGGGGGGGTGGGAGGCTGCGGGGGGGGGTTGGTGGCGGATGGTGGGCGGGGGGGGTGGGGGGGTGGGAGGGGGGGGTGGTGGTGGGGGTGGGGGGGGGGGGGGGGGGGGGGGGGGGGGGGGGGGTGTTGGGGGGGAGGGTTGGGCAGGGGGGGGGGGGGGGGGGGAGGGGATGGGGGGGGGGGGGGGGGGTGGTGAGGGGGGGTGTGGTTTGGTGGGGGGGGGGGGGGGGGGGTAGGGGGGGGGGTTGGAGGGGGGGGGGGGGTGGGACTGTTGGGGGGTTGGGGGTCGCGAGGGGGGGGTTGGGAGGGTGGGGGGGGGGGGGGGGGGGGGGGGTCGGGGTGGGGAGGGGGGGGGGGGGGGGGTGGGGTGGGGGGGGGAGGGGGTGGTAGGGTGGGGGGGGGGGGCGGGGGGGGGGGGGGGGGGTTGTTGGGGGTGGCGGGTATGGCAGCTGGGGGCGAGGGGTGTGGGGGGCGGGCGGGGGGGGGGGTGTGGGGGGGGGGGGGGGGGGGGGGGGGGGGGGTGGGGGGGGGGTATAGGGGGGGGGGGTGGACCGGGGGGGGTGGGGGGGTAAGGGGGGTGGGGGGGGGGTGGGTGGGGTGGGGGGGGTGGGGGGGTGGTCGGGGGGTGAGGGGGGGGTGAGGGGGGGGGGGGGAGGGGGGGTGTGGGGGTTGTGGGGGGGGGGCGGGAGGGTGTGGGGGGGGGGGGTGCGGGGGGGGGGGGGGGGTGGGGGGGTGGGGGCGGAGGGGGGGGGGGGGGGGGGGGGGAGGGGGTTGGAGGGTTGGGGGGGAGGGGGGAGGGTGGGGGGGGTGGGGGGGGGGGGGGTCTGGGGGGCGGGGGGGGGGGGGGGGGGGGACGGAGGTGCGGGAAGGGGGGGTAATGCGGGGGGGGCACCGGTGGTGGGGGGGGGGGCGGGGTGGGTGGAGGGGGGGGGGGGGGGGGCTGGTGTTGGGGATCGGCGCGGGAGGTGGGGGGGAGGGGGGAGGGTTTAGGGGGGGGCGGGTGAGGGGCGGGTGGGGGGTGGGGGGGTGAGGGGGGGGTGGGGGGGGGGGGGGGTGTGGGTTGTGGGGGTTGGGGTGATGGGGAGGGGTTGGCGGGGGTCGGAGGGGGGGCGGTGGGAGGCGGGGGGTGGGGGGGGGGAAGGTGGGGGCGGCGCGGTGAGGGAGGGGGGGGGGAGCGGGGGGGGGGGGGGGGGTGGAGGGGGGTGGGGGCAGTGGGGGGGGGGGGGGGGGGTAGGGGGGTGGAGGGGGAGCTGCGGTGGGGGGGTGGGGGGGGCCGGGGGGGGGGGGGCGGGAGGGGGTAGGGGGGGGGGGGGGTTGGGCGGGGAGTTATAGGGGGGGGTGGCCGGGGGTTGGGGGGGGGGGGGGACGCGGGGGGTAAGGGGGGGGGAGGGGGGGTTGGGGGGTGGGGGGGGGGGGGGGGTGGGTAGGGGGCGGGGGGGAGCAGAGGGGGGGGGGGGGGGCGGTGGGGAGGGAAGAGGTGGGTGGGGTGGAGATGGGGGGGGGGGGGGGTGATGGTGGCGGGGTTAGGAGGGGGGTGGAGGGGGTGGGGGTGGGGGGGGTAGGGAGTGGGGAAAGAGCGGGGGACGGGGGTGGGGGGTGGGGGGGGAGGGGGGGAGGGGGGTGTGGGGGGAGCGGGAAGGGGGGGGCGGGTGGGGGTGGGGGGGGTGTGGGGGGGCGGCGATGGGGGACGGGGGGGGTGGTGAGGGGGGTGTGGTAGGGGGGGGTGGGGGCGAGGGGGCGCTGGGGGGGGGGGTGGGGGGGGGGGGGTTAAGAGAGGGGGGGGGGGGGGTGTCGTACTGGCGGGGGGGGGAGGGTGGGGGGGGGGACGTGGGGGGGGGTGGGGGGGGGGGGGGTGCAGGGTGGAGGGCTCTCGGGTGGTGGGCGTGGGCGGGGGGGGGGGGGGGGGGGAGGGGTGGGGGGTGGGGTGGGGTGGTGGGGGGGGGGTGGGTGAAGGGGAGGGGGCGTGGGGGGGGGGGGGGGGGGGGGGGGGCAGGGGGGGGGGGTGGGGGGGGGGGGGGGGGGGGGGGCGTGTGCGTTGCGTACCGGTGGGGGGTAGGGGGGGGATTGGGGGGCTGGGGGGTGTGTTGGGGGGGGTGGGGAGTGGTGAGTGGGGGGGGGGGGGGGTGCGGGGGGGGCGGGGGGGGGGGGGGGGTGGGGGTGCGGGATGAGGGGGGGGGGGGGGGGTGGCGTGGACGGGGGGGGGGGGGGGTGGATTGGGGGGGGGGGGGGGGGGGGAGGGGGGGTGAGGGAGGGGGTGGGGTAGGGGGAGGGGGGGTGGGTTGGGGGCGGGGGTGGTGGGGGGGGTGGGGGGGAGGTCTGGAGGGGTTGGGGTGGGGGGTGGGCAGTGGTGGGGGCGGGGGGGGGGGTGGGGGGGGGAGGGGGGTGGTGGGGGTGCTGGGGAGGGGGGGGGGTATGGATGGGGGGGGGGGGTGTAGGGGGGGTAGGGGGACGGTGGGGGGGGGTGGGGGGGGGGCGGGGGTGAGGCGGGGGGGGGGGGGGGGGGGGGGGGCGGGGGGGGGGGGGGGGGGGGCGTGGCGGGGGGGGGGAGGGAAGTGGCGGGGGGGGGAGGGGGGTGTGGGAGGGGGGTTGGTTGGGGGCGGCGGGGGGGTGGGGGGGGGGACAATAGGGGGGGCGGCGGGCTTGGGGGGGGGGAGGGGGTGTGGGGGGGGGGAGGGATGCGGGCCTTTTGGAGTGGGGGAGGGGGGGGGTGGCGGGGGGGGGGGGGGGGGGGGGGGGGGGGAGGAGGGGGGGGGGGGGGGGGGGGGTGGGGGAGTGGGGGGGGTTGCGGGGGGAGTTGGGGGGTGGTGCGGGGGGGGGGGGGGGAGGGGGGGTTGGGGGGGTGGGGGGGAGGTGGCGGGGGGGGGTTGGGGGGGGAGGGGGGGCGGGGAGTGGGTGGGGGGGGGGCGGGGCGGGTGCGGGGGGGAGGGGTGGCGTGGAGTGGGGGGGAGGCAGGGGCTGGGGGGGGTGAGGGGGGGGCGAGGGGTGGGGGGGGGGGCGGGGGGGCGTGGGGGGGGGGTGGGGGGGGGATTGGGGGGGGGGGGGGTTATGTGGGGCTGGGCGGGGGGGGGGGGTGGAGGGGAGGGGGGGGCGGGGTGGGGGGGGTGTGGGAGGGGGGTGGGGTCTCGGGGGGGGAGCGGGGGGGGGGGTGGGGGGTGGATGGGTGGGAGGGGGGTGGGGGTCGGGAGTTCGGGGGGGTGGAGGGTGGGGCGCGCAGGTGGCGGGGGGTGGGTGGGGGGAGGGGGGGTTTAGGGGTGGGGGGGGGGGGGGGGGGGGGTGGGCGGGGGGGGGGGGGGGGGGCGGCGGGGGGGGCATGCTGGGGCGTGGGGTTATCGGGATGGCGTGGAGCTGGGAGGGGGGGTGTGGGCGGGGGGGGGGGGGCGGTGGGAAGGGCGGGGAGCAGGTGGCGTGGAGGGGGGGGGTTCGGGGGTCGGGCGGGGGGGGGGCGTGGGGTGGGAGGCTTTGGGGGGGGGGTATGGTGGGGGAGGGGGGGGGGGGGGGGGGGGGGCGGGGGGATGAGGGGGGGGGGGGGCGGTGGGGGAAGCGAGGTGGGGGCGGGGTGGTGGGGTGGGGGAGGGGGAGGGCGGAGGTGAGGGGGGGAGGGGGGGGGTGGGTGTTGGGTGGGTGGGGCGTTTGGGGGGGGTTGAGGGGGGGGAGCGGGGGGGGGGGCGGTGTGGGGCGGGTGCGGGGGGGCGGCGGGGGTGAGCGGGGGGGGGGGGGGTGGGCTGGGGGGGGCGTTGGGCGGGGGGGGGTCGGGTGGGGGGGCGGGTGTGAGTGGGGGGGGGTGCGGGGGTGTCCGTTGAAGGGTGGAGGGGGGGGGGGGGGGGGCCGGGGGGGGCGCTGGCGGGGGGGGGGGTGTCCGAGGAGGGGGGGGGGGTGGGGGCGCGGAGGGGTAGGGTTGGGGGGGGTTGCGGGGGGGGGGGGTGGGCAGCGGGGGGGGGGGGGGGGGGAGGTGGGGAGGGGGCGGGAGGCAGGGGGGGGGAGGGCGGGGGGGTGGGGGGGGGTAGGGGGGGGGCCGGGGGTCGAGAGTGGGTGGGTGAGGGGGGGGGAGGCTGGTCAGGGGAGGGGCGGGGGGGGGGGGGGGTGCGGAGGAGGGGGGTGGGAGGGGGGGGGGGAGGCGGTTGAGGTAGGAGAGGGGGTGGTGGGGCGGCGGGGGGGTGGGGCGAGGGGGGAGGGAGGGGGTGGGGGGGGGGGCGGCTGGGTGGGGGGGTGAGGGGGGGTGGGGCGGCTGGGGGCGGGGGGGGGAGGAGGGGGGGAGTTGTCGGGTGGGGCTGTGGGGTGGGGGGTCGGGGGGTGGGGGGGGGTCGGGGTTGGGCTGGCGAGGGGGGGTATGGGAGGGCGCGGTCGGGGGGGGGGAGGGAGGGAGTGGGGTGGGGGTTTTGGGGGGTGGGGGCGGGTTTGAGGTTGGGGGGGGGAGAATGGGGGTCGGGGGGGATAGGGGTTTGGCGGGCGGGGGGTGGGGGGGGTGGCGGAGGAGGGAGGGGTTTGAATGGTTTGGGGGAGCGGAGGGGTGGGGGGGGAGGGGGGGAGATGAGGGGGGTGGGTGGGTAGGCGGTGGGGGTTCGGGGGTGGGAGGGGTGAGTGGGGGAGGTTGTGTGGGGGTTTTGGGGGGTGGGTGGGGGGGGAGTGGGGGGGGTGGGGGGGGGGGGTGGAAGGGGGGGGGAGGGGTGGGGGGGTGTGGAGAGGGAGAGGGGATGGGGGGGGGAGGGGGCTAGGAGGGGGGCGGGGGTGGGGAGTTTGGGGTTGATGGGGCGTGGGGGGGGGGGAGGTGGTTCGGTTAGGCATGGAGAGGGAGAGGTAGGGTAGGGGGGGGTGGGTTGTGGGGGTTGGGGGGGGGTTGGAAGGGGGGGGGGGGGGGTCGTTTGGTGGGAGTGCGCTGGGGGGGGTGGCGAGGGTGAGGCGCTGGGAGTGGGCGGGTAGTCGGCGCGAGGGTGTGGGTCTGGAGGTTGGCGGGGGGGGTCGTCGGGGGTGGGGTGGGCGGGGGGGCAAGAGGAGGGGGGTGCAGGGGGTGGGAGAGGCGGGTGAGGGGTTAAGGGAGCGGGGGGGGGGGTGGGGGGGGGGGGGGGGGGGGGGGGGGTGGGGTCATGGGTTGTGGTGGCGTTGTGGGGGTTGGAGGAGGGGATAGGGGGGGAGGGTGGGTTGGAGCCGGGAGTGTGGGGTGGGGGGGGGGGGGGGGGGGGGGGGGTGGGGGGGGGGGTTGTTGGGCTGTGGGGGGAGGTGGGGTGAGGTGGGAGGGGGGGGAGGAGGGGGGCGGGGTGGGTCGAGGTGGGGGATACGGGGGGCGGGGGGGGGGTGGGGGGGGGGGGGGTGGGGGTCGGGGGACGGGGGTATTGAGGTGGGGGGGGGGGTGGGTGGGGGTGAGGGGGGGGGGGGGGAGGGGGGGGGGGAGAGTGGGTGGAAGCGGGGGGAGGCGGGAGGAGCGGGGGGGATAGGGGGCGGGGGGGACGGGGGGCCGGGGGTGGTTGAGGGGGGATGGGGACGGGGGTGGGGGGGGGGGGGGGGAGGGGGGGGGGGGGCTGGGGGGGGGAGGGTGGGGGGCGGGGGGGTGGGGGAGGGTGGCGTGTGGGGTGGGGGGGAGGGGTAGGGGGGGGTGGTGAGGGCGGGGGGGGGTAGGTTGGGCGGGAAGGAGGGGACGGGGGTGGGGTGGGGGGGCGTGAGGGATGGAGGTGGGGGGGGGGTTGGTTGGGGTGGGGGGGGGGGGGGGGGAGGGAGGGGGGCTAGGGGGAGAGGTGGGGGGGGGGGGTTGGGCGGAGGAGGCGGGGGGGGGGGCGGGGGGGGGTTTGGGGGGGGGGGGGGGTGGGGTGGGGCGGAGGGGGGGGGCGGGTGGAGGGAGGGGGGGAGGATGGGGGGGGACGACGACGGTGGAGGGAGGGGGGGGGGGGGTGGGGGCGGGGGGGGGGGGGGGTGGGGGGGGTTGGGTAGGAGCGTCGGGGGGGGGGGGGGGTGAGGGGGGGGGGGGGGGGGTGGCCGGTGGGGGGGGGGGGGGGGGGGGGGGGGGGGGGGTGGGGGTGGGGGGGGGGGGGGGCGCGGGGGGGAGAGGGGGGGGTTGTCGGGAGGGGGGGGGAGAGGGGCGGAGTGGGAGGGGGGGGGGGGGGGGGAGAGGTGCGAGGCGGGGGAGGGGGAGATGAGGGT